TAAAACAAGTTGGGAGGATGTCTCAAAGCGCTTGGCAATGCTTAACACCTGAGCTGGAGGTGGGAGTGAGGGAAGTGGGGAGAAGAAAATGACTGTAAGTGGGGTTAAAGAAGTACATATTCAGATGGACTTTGAACAAGGGGAGGGAGTGGATGAGTCAGAAGGACTCTGCAAAGGAGTACCGCAGAGCAGGGGCAGAATGGCTGAAAACCCACTTGCGAATAATGAGGCAGGTATGGCAGAGAACATGAAGCAGACAACAGGTTGTGATGGAAAATTAATTGCAAGAAAATTCCTGACAATAGCAACACAATTCAGACAGATAAACTGCAGTACCTCATTAAAAATGGACTCAAATCCATGAGACAAACATACAAATAATGTTGTGCTACCCAGTGTAATTATATCAAATTTACCCCATAACATGAAAAGTCATGCACAATTGGAAGTCAGATAATGTTAATAAGGCAATTTTTGCACATGATATAACACCTTTAACAATGAAACGTCTCAAAGAGCTTCACATAAAATTGCCGCCAAGTATAAAAACTATACTTGGTGGAGTCCTGTAGCTCAGTGGTTAGAGCACTCGCTTTGCAAGTGAGAGACCCGAGTCCAATTTCAGGCAGAGGGCGAAACCTTGGGCAAGTTTCCTTACTCCACACGCCTAATAATAATCCCTCCAAAAAACAAAAACAATAATAAATTGGTCATTTTCAATCCATGAGTGTTTGTGGGACACTGCTGTGCGCAATTGGCTGCTGCGTTCGCCCACAAATATACAGTCAATTCACTTTACAGTATATTCTGTGAAGCACTTTGGGACATTCTCCTGATGTGAAAAGCACTATATCAAATGCAAGGATTATTATTATATTTTTCTGCAAGCCTGGCACAGGTGGAGAAACACACCCTTCGCATTTCTCTTTTCAACAGTATTAAGAATGTTTTGATGTCCACTTGAACAGGCAGACAGGACCTTAATTTAACTTCTCACCCAAAGCACCCTTTTATCTTGTATAGTGTCTCTTTTTGTATCTATTTGTGCCAATTAATTTTTTGCTGTCAGTTTTTCTGTCAGGCCACAGTGTTGCTGATGTAGGCAGGAACGGAGGTGAGTCAGTCACTGGTTCAGGGAGAGATTGCTTTGCAATGCCAGGACTCTTGGCTGAATTCCCTGGCAATTTTTCCAAAGTAAAAGTTAGCACCTCGGGATTCTGGAATTTTGGAGCATTAAACTCCCCAAATCCTAGGATTCAAAACAAAGTACCAGGATCGCAATTTCTAGTTGAGCCATCTCTAAATATTTCACAGGTTGTACTCCAATGCGGTGTGACTGTACACTTTCTGTGGGAAAACTTGGCGTACAACTTGTGCACAGCCATGAATAATGCTGTAGCTATGGTTAATAAACATAATGTCTTTTGTATTCCAAGAAAAAACATTGTTCTTTATATAATGATCCTTGCATTTGATATAGCTCCTTATCATGTTATCCAGACATCTCAAAGCATTTCACAGGATTTACTGTGAAGCATAGTGGCTGAGTAATTGTAGCACCTTTACAATTTTAACCCACCCAATCCGGCATAGCAAGGGGAATGGGATAAAATAATCTAAACCCAATGCTCCTTTAAAATATTTCCAGCACTGTTCCATTGCCAATCAATGTATTGAGACAATTGTGCATGACTTAATTAACCATTGTGGGTTTCTACTAGTTTTGGTCAATGCATTAGAAACGTTTATGAAATACCCTGCATTTTAGGAAATATAGATTTAATCACCTACTAAGACAGTACTTTGCTGAAAATATGATTAACACCATGAATACTCTTAAGTTCTTTATATGATGTGGTTATTAATGCCAGTTTCATGAAACCAGATATCAAAGTATTGGTGACTGAGGTCAAATAAACATCAATTTAAGAATTCCAGAGGAGGGTTGAATAATACTCAGTATTATTGTTTTGTCCAACCAGATAGGTCAATTGTGTATTGATGAAACCATTACCTATTGAGTTATCTTGAAGGATACTCTCTTTTAGTTTTATTGCTAACAGAAGTTAATTATTCTAGCAATGCCTCCATAGATATCATTTTTGTTCCTTTTAAAATTATGTATTTCCATCCCTCGCTTGACAAACTTTATATCTGAGAATTTACATAGAGTCTAAAATAGTCAATATATAAAGAGAAATTTAGGTTTTGTTTAAAAAGAATCATATAAAATATAAGAAGTTAGACAATCCTATATTCAATTACAGTCATTATATAGCGCACTCCACACTCTGAGATGCTACCCTCTGTGGAGGGAGCTATATAAGTGAAAGTTGCTGTTGTTGTTCTGTATATATCAATAGCTAATAAGCACATCTAAATACAGTAGTGAGTGTGATTAAAACATAAGGCAGAAGCAAAAATCTGCATTTTTTGTAGGAAATCATTGTTTTAATGCCCAAAGGAAATCTTGTCTCAAATTCATACTGCTTTAAAGCCAGTATTCTTTGGCATTCTTCAGTAAGCATCAATGCTGATCAATGCAGTTTAATCTACAATATTCACAACCACATTCCATGCATTAAAGACAGCCCCGGATGATGAGTATTACAAGTTAAACCTGAATATTACCATGTTTTCTTTCAATCAAATAAATATTTGCACATTCTATATGTATGTTGAAAAATAAATGAAATGTAAGAACCAAATATTTGGAAATGTATCCATAACAATACCAAAAAATAGCACATGTGAAAAATAATCAATCATAGCACTTGTTAGCTTTGTTGTGCAAATGATCCATCCAATTACAGTCATTTACATATGGCATTTGCAACTAAAATATAATGCCATAAGATACGGGGCAAAGTATTATTGTTACAAAATGGGACTGTTTTAAAGCAATACATTTTTCAACAAACTTCAATAGATGTAAATACCACAGTGAAGTATGAGTTACCTTTGAATAAATACTGACATCTATTTTATTGTCATGTTGAAAGATGACAGGAAACCAAGTAAATGGCCATGTATGTACAAATCATAGGCAAATGTATTCAGGGAGAGGAAGCAATTCATCCAAAAATGCCAAATTTAAAAAATGTGTTTGTAAAAAGCAACGCGATGTATTACTGATGTTGAGACTTATAGTGTAAGGAGACTCCACCTCATTTTCTGCCTCTTTCCAACTGCACATATCGCTCCTCCAAAGTGTAAGGACTCACATCAACCCCCTGCGGTTGTGATGAAAAGCAAATTCTCTGCCTATTTTTTCCCCGGACACTTTGAGCCACTTGATAACTAAATAATCTCCCTTTCAAATCAACAAGCATCTCTCACACACTCGGATACATCACATCTAATATTATTATTATTCCACTCATAATGAACTGCTGGCAGGGTTTTAATGTGAAAGTATAACCTTCCCCCAAAAAAACATTAATGTCTTATATTCGGTTCAGCAAAGCTCACTAATTACTGTGTATTAGCCATTCCTGTTATTGCATGTGCGGTTGAAACTGACATAAAATCGTTTTCTCTTGGATTGTGCTTACGGTCACCTCCCTCCCTTTCCCCTGGCTCGACATCAGACTTTGCCACTGTTAAGCACTCTGAGATGCCACCCTCTAAGGACGCTATATAAATGCGAATTGTTATTATATATTTTCAAAGGGATGCCAAAGAAAAGGTGTCAATGTTGCATTTAAACATCAAAACGTTGGAACTAAAATATAATTCTGGCCAAGAAGAGCAACAGCAACAAATAATCCTTGCATTTGATATAGTGCCTTAACACAACAGCAACAACAAAATTACATTTGTTTTGTGCCTTTTGAGGACGCCCCAAAGCACTTCACAGGATATACTGTAAAGTGAATTGAATGTACATTTTGAGGGCGAAACGCGGCAGCCAATTGCGCACAGCAGTGTATTGAGCAGCAAACAGGTGTGGATGAAATGACCAAGTTATCAAAACTCCCAAAGTTGGGAGAGCAGAGAAAAGGCTTTCGTATTTTTTTTCATACATTTTTTAAAAAAATTTGCATGTGTTCGGCAGCAACCATTCAGTTCATGCGATCAAGGGGAAGGTTCATGCTGGACAAATGTAACACATTCACAAAAGTGGGAGAGAAAAACCTGGTCAAAAAAACACAAGAGAAACACACTTATAGAGACGATTGTTACCAGATCCACTCATGAATGTAAGTTTCTTTCGACAGAACAGAAAGATAAGAAGTTTGCTTTGTCTCCTCTGCTTACACCTGTCAACCCTAAATAACCTGATAACTGGTCCGATCACAGTTGTGTGCGGGATAATGTCACATCTGAATAATAGTCAATAAGAGCAGATTCCTATTTTAGGACAGAGAGAGAGAGAGAGACTGAAACAGTCTTTTGGCAATTCAGACACTGCAAAGCAAATATAGCAGATGAAGATGTCCTTCTGTGAACTGCACTGCAACTGAGAAGTTAACAGCAATAGTTTAGAAACCATCCTCTTACACTGCCATCCTCTAAGCACAGAGCAGAGCAGGGCAAGAGCAGGGCAGGGCAGGGCAGGGCAGGGGGGTAGAGCAGGGCAAGAGCAGGGCAGAGCAGGGCAGGGCAGGGGGCAGAGCAGAGCAGGGCAAGAGCAGGGCAGGGCAGGGCAGGGGGCAGAGCAGAGCAGGGCAGGGCAAGAGCAGGGCAGAGCAGAGCAGGGCAGGGGGCAGAGCAGGGGACAGGGCAGGGGGCAGGGCAGGGGACAGAGCAGGGGACAGAGCAGGGCAGAGCAGGGCAGGGCAGGGGGCCGGGCAGGGCAGGGCAGGGGGCAGGGCAGGGTGCAGGGCAGGGCAGGGCAGGGGGCAGGGCAGGGCAGGGGGCAGAGCAGGGGGCAGGGCAGGGCAGGGGGCAGGGCAGGGCAGGGGGCCGGGCAGGGCAGGGCAGGGGACAGGGGGCAATCAGCTGTGGCTGTGTGGATGGAGGGCGACACAGACCTGTTTTTGTGGTGGTTGACTTACCGGCGTTTCTCAGCTTCTTGTTCCTGTAGACGGAGAGGATGACCAGGAGGTTCCCGAGGATATCCCCCGCGATGGTGAAGATCAGCAAACTGGCCAGGGTGGTGGCTACCCAGGCCGGGCGGTCCGGGGTCAGGGGCTCGGGTACCAGGGCGGACGTGTTGAGGCAGCCCAGGCTGCTGTTCATGGTTTTATTAATGGTTTAGTTTCCGAGTAGAAATCAATAACCAGGACTCGATCCAACATTAATCCGATTAGTGTTGCAATCGGTCCCTGAGGCTGACATTGACCGGAGGAGTTTGCAGGTCTGGATCCATCTCCCCGGGGGGGTGGGGGGTGCGGGGGGTGGGGGGTGCGGGGGGTGGGGGGTGCGGGGATGAGGGGGGGTTTTCTTTTAAAACTATAGCGCTCTAACTTTTTTTTTGAGGCAAAAAGAAACTGTTTAATCCGACGGACGCGGGACCTTCATACCGCCGAGTGGACCCATCGCATCGCTGTTGTGGGCAGTGACAGACAGACAGACACCGCACCGCACCGCCCCCGACCCGCTCTCCCCTTTTATCAGGTGGTGCGGTGTGATGTGCGGGTTCGTAACCCAACACCGTCAGAGCATTGCCTCCGTGCGGTGCGGAGTCAGTCAGTCAGTCAGTGCTCTGCCCCTCAGCCGCACAGTGTGAGCTCTCGGGGCTCTGCTCTCCCCCTCCTCACTCATTGTGCGTTTCGTTCATTCAATCCCTCCCTCCAATCCTGTACACACACACACACACACACACCTACATACATGTGCGATCATTCATTCATTCAGTTACACCCCCCGCCCCCCCACTGACTGTCCCCCCCCACTGACTGCCCCCCCCCCACTGACTGTCCCCCCCCACTGACTGTCCCCCCCCACTGACTGTCCCCCCCCCACTGACTGTCCCCCCCACTGACTGTCCCCCCCCCACTGACTGTCCCCCCCCACTGACTGTCCCCCCACCACTGACTGCCCCCCCCCCACTGACTGCCCCCCCACTGACTGCCCCCCCCACTGACTGTCCCCCCCACTGACTGTCCCCCCCACCACTGACTGCCCCCCCCACTGACTGCCCCCCCCACTGACTGTCCCCCCCCACTGACTGCCCCCCCCACTGACTGTCCCCCCCCCCACTGACTGCCCCCCCCCACTGACTGCCCCCCCCCACTGACTGCCCCCCCCCACTGACTGCCCCCCCACTGACTGCCCCCCCCACTGACTGTCCCCCCCCACTGACTGCCCCCCCCCACTGACTGCCCCCCCCCACTGACTGCCCCCCCCCCACTGACTGCCCCCCCCACTGACTGTCCCCCCCCCACTGACTGTCCCCCCCACTGACTGTCCCCCCCCCACTGACTGTCCCCCCCCCACTGACTGTCCCCCCCCCACTGACTGTCCCCCCCCCCACTGACTGTTCCCCCCCCACTGACTGTCCCCCCCCACTGACTGTCCCCCCCCACTGACTGTCCCCCCCCCACTGACTGTCCCCCCCCCCACTGACTGTCCCCCCCCACTGACTGTCCCCCCCCCACTGCGTGTCCACCCCCCCCACTGACTGTCCCCCCCCCCACTGACTGTCCCACCCCCCACTGACTGTCCCCCCCCACTGACTGTCCCCCCCCCCACTGACTGTCCCCCCCCCACTGACTGTCCCCCCCCACTGACTGTCCCCCCCCTGACTGTCCCCCCCTGACTGCCCCCCCCCCCGACTGTCACCCCCCTGACTGTCCCCCCCCCACTGACTGTCCCCCCCCCTGACTGCCCCCCACTGACTGCCCCCCCCACTGACTGTCCCCCGCCAACTGACTGTCCCCCCCCCCCACTGACTGTCCCCCCCCACTGACTGTCCCCCCCCACTGACTGTCCCCCCCACTGACTGTCCCCCCCCCCACTGACTGTCCCCCCCCCACTGACTGTCCCCCCCACTGACTGTCCCCCCCCACTGACTGTCCCCCCCCCTGACTGTCCCCCCCCTGACTGTCCCCCCCCCTGACTGTCCCCCCCCCTGACTGTCCCCCCCCCCCGACTGTCCCCCCCCACTGTCTGTCCCCCCACTGACTGTCCCCCCTCCACTGACTGCCCCCCCCTCCCACTGACTGTCCCCCCCACTGACTGTCCCCCCCCCCCACTGACTGTCCCCCCCCCACTGACTGCCCCCCCCCCCACTGACTGTCCCCCCCCCACTGACTGTCCCCCCCCCCTGACTGTCCCCCCCCCCACTGACTGTCCCCCCCCACTGACTGTCCCCCCACTGACTGTCCCCCCCCACTGACTGTCCCCCCCCCACTGACTGTCGTCCCCCCCCACTGACTGTCCCCCCCCCCACTGACTACCCCCCCACTGACTGTCCCCCCCCCCACTGACTGTCCCCCCCCACTGACTGTCCCCCCCCCCCACTGACTGTCCCCCCCCCCACTGACTGTCCCCCCCCACTGACTGTCCCCCCCACTGACCTTCACTGCGAGGAGATGCTGGATTTCCTTGAATCCAAGATGATGTCACCGAGGGGGAGCATATAGAGGGTGAAGAGGAGGGGACCGAGGACAGAGCCCTGAGGGACACCACATGAGACAGTACGGGGGGTGGAGGAGAAGCCATTCGTCGAGACAAAGTGAAGACGGTGAGAAAGGTACGACCTAAACCATTCAAGGACAGTGCCTTGACGGTTGAGGTGGGAGGACAAGCGGTGGAGTAGGATAGCGTGGTCGACCGTATCGAATGCTGCCGATAGGTCGAGGAGGACGAGGAGACAGAGGGAGCCCTGGTCACAGATGGTCAGGATATCATTGGTGACCTTGACCAGGGCAGTTTCTGTGCTATGGGCAGCACGGAAACCTGACTGAAGGGGTTCAAAAAGAGAATGGGTGGAGAGGAAAGAGCGCAGTTGGGAGGCGACAACTCTTTCCAAGACCTTGGAGAGAAAGGGGAGGTTGGAGATGGGCCGGTAGCTTGATAGCTGCGACGCATCAAGGGAGGGTTTTTCAGGGTGGGCGTGATGATGGCAGTTTTTAATGGAATGGGGACAGAGCCAGAGGAGAGGGACAGGTTTATGATGTCAGTGATGTGTGGGGCAAGAAAGTGGAGCTGGGAGATAAGGAGTGGAGTGGGATGGGGTCAAGGGAGCAGGTGGTTGGTTTTAGGGATAGGATGAGTTCAGTGACAGAGGGTGGGGAAACGGGTACGAAGGTGTGTAGGGGAGGATGGGTAGGAGTCGGAGTGTGGGAGGGAAGGGGTGGGTGGTGGGTGGAAGTTGGAGGCGACTCTCACCCCCCCTGACTGTCCCCCCCCCCACTGTCTGTCCCCCCACTGACTGTCCCCCCCCACTGACTGTCCCCCACTGACTGTCCCCCCACTGACTGTCCCCCCCCCACTGACTGTCCCCCCACTGACTGTCCCCCCCCACTGACTGTCCCCCACTGACTGTCCCCCCACTGACTGTCCCCCCCCCCACTGTCTGTCCCCCACTGACTGTCCCCCCCCCACTGACTGTCCCCCCCCCACTGACTGTCCCCCCCCCACTGACTGTCCCCCCCCCACTGACTGTCCCCCCCCCCACTGACTGTCCCCCCACTGACTGTCCCCCCACTGACTGTCCCCCACTGACTGTCCCCCACTGACTGTCCCCCCCCACTGTCTGTCCCCCCCTGTCTGTCCCCCCACTGACTGTCCCCCCCCCCCACTGTCTGTCCCCCCACTGACTGTCCCCACTGACTGTCCCCCCACTGACTGTCCCCCCACTGACTGTCCCCCACTGACTGTCCCCCCACTGACTGCCCCCCCACTGTCTGTCCCCCACTGACTGTCCCCCCCACTGACTGTCCCCCCCCACTGTCTGTCCCCCCCTGTCTGTCCCCCACTGACTGTCCCCCCCCCACTGACTGTCCCCCACTGACTGTCCCCCCACTGACTGCCCCCCCACTGTCTGTCCCCCCACTGACTGTCCCCCCACTGACTGTCCCCCCCACTGACTGTCCCCCACTGACTGTCCCCCCCACTGACTGTCCCCCACTGACTGTCCCCCACTGACTGTCACTCGCTCACTCTTCCAAACCACCGCTCCGCTGTGACCCCACAGCCGCTCCTCCGCTCACTCCCTCCATCGCTCCACGTATCCGCTCTCCTTCCTTTGGCTTTTTTATGCATCGAAACGAGATGTCACTTCTTTATTATTTTTTCCCCCCCATGACTTCTGGACGTTTCGGTCAGTGGTGGAAGGAGGTGGGTTTAGGCGGGGGGGGGGGGTTTGGGGGGCAGAAGGGGAGGGGTGTTGGGGGGCGGGTGGGGAGGGGAGTAGGGGGTGAGGGGGGCGGGGGAGTAGGGGGGGAGGGGGGGGATCTGAATCATTAATAAATTAAATACTGAAAATCTAAAAAGTTGCTTTAATCCCTCCGCTGATCATTCAATCACTGGGGATCCACAACGAGCGATGCAAACACACTACCCCCCCCCCCCCACACACACACACACCCCACACACACACACACACTCCCCCCCCCCCACACACACACACCACCCCACACACACACACACACTCCCCCCCCCCCCACACACACACACACACCCCACACACACACACACACTCCCCCCCCCCCCACACACACACACACACCCCCACACACACACACACACTCCCCCCCCCCCCCACACACACACACACACACTCCCCCCCACACACACACACACTCCCCCCCCCCCACACACACACACTCCCCCCCCCCTCACACACACACTCCCCCCCCCTCACACACACACTCCCCCCCCCCCACACACACACACACACCCCCCCCCTCACACACACACTCCCCCCCCTCACACACACACTCCCCCCCCCCCCTCACACACACACTCCCCCCCCCCCACACACACACTCCCCCCCCCCCCCACACACACACTCCCCCCTCACACACACACTCCCCCCCCCCTCACACACACACTCCCCCCCCCTCACACACACCCCCCCCCCCCCACACACACACTACCCCCCCACACACACACTCCACCCCCCACACACACACACTCCCACACACACCCCACCCGCCCCCCACACACACACCCCATCCCCCCCCACACACACACACACACCATCTCATTCAATCCACTGGACACAGAGCGTCTGTTATCTTCTGTCACTGGAATTGCAATATTCTGCAGCTGTAATGTTTCCATTCCTA